ACAAGGGCTAAGTTGGAAACAGATTTACGCAAGTTGGGAATAAAAAATATCTATTCCCAACTTGAGGGRGAGTGTAGAGATGGAGAGCAATAATTAGTGTTGTTATATTGCTGTTATTTTATTTATTGTGGTCCCCACTGCTGTTGTTAGTTAGTTTCCACTTTATATTTGTTGTTAGGCTGCTGTTAGCAATTTTAGTTTTATTAGTTATTTGCTTATGTAAGCAGTAGGGGCATTAATGTAATTGACATCTTATATTTTGATGTTATTATAAATAGCTGAGTGGGGCGGCAACTAAGGCCATCACTCTTTCTCTCATCTTTCTCTTCTCTCTTCTTTCTTTCTTTCTTTCTTTCTTCTTCTCTTCTTTGGTATTTTTTCTTCATTAAATTGCATCAAGAATTGGACTGATTACAGTTTGGATTTGTCAACTCTCTTTTATATTAATAAAAATAAATATTACAAAGAGGTCCCTGAGAACAGAAAAAATTACAGAAAGACCCCCTGTGCCTAAAACACATAATTAAAAGCACCTTACAACAATTTTAAAAGGATTTTCAAAGAAAGTATTTTGTGTTTAATTAATTTGGCATTTTGGGTTGTAAGGTGTGGTACTCTGTAAAGCTTCTTTTTCATATTTGGGGGGTGTCTTTTTCTTATTCGGTAGAAAGAAGGGAAATCACAAGACAACCACACTCACTCAACAAAGCCCTGGGCTTCACTTCACCAACTCCAAAAGCTAGAGTAGAGGAGAAAGAGATAGGAGAGCTCTAAAGCTACTCAAGGAAAATTTTCAACTCAAATTTTGGATGCCTTTACACTATATGGGGAGGGGTATTTAATGTAGGAGCCAAGGCCTAGCAATCAATCCTAACCATTAGCTTAGAGAAATTTTAACTATGGATTTGAAGTAACTCATGACCTTTCATTCCCCCAATAAATTCTATGAATATTCCTCTAAATATGACCAGATACAAATCCCTTCATCTCCCCAAGAAAGGTTATGTTTGAAGATTTAATGGCCTCCTAATAAGTAATAACCCTCTTTAATCTCATTAATTGAGGAGTTACATGATCCTCCTGTGTCTCATGCATTAAATACTACTGCATCATTAAATGTCAATAATTTCAAGGATACTCTACAAATAAGAATAACAAGGAGCGACAAAGATCACCAACTCAGAGAAATCCTCCAAAAACTAGACAATAATTGAACATAATTTTTTAAAAAAATGCTAACAGCATGTGTGTCAGAGATGATAAGAGAACTAATAGGCCTATACGATAATCGCAAAACCAAAGAAAAAAGAGAGAAAGAAGCACAATGAAAAAGAAGAAGGGAAAATACGAGAGATTTATGGCTCTGTATAGGACAGATCCCAACATATACATACACCATTGAAGTGGAAATTCTATAAAAAATCCAATATGATTCACAAACAGCAACTCTCCATGAAAAAGTGTATCAAAACCCTTTAATTTTTTTATCAGTAAAAAGAGAAAATCCCTTAAATTTTCTCTCTCTCATAAAAGGCAACAGAGAGTAAAAAGCTTTCTAGTTCAAAGTAGAAAAGAACTACCACGCCATAAATATCTGCTCAGCAAAGTAATGATAAAAGAAAGTATCATTACTATATTCTTCCAATATGATAGAGAGCACAGCCCAACCAAATCAAAAGAGTAACAAAGTAGCAGCAATACCACAAATAAAAGATCATCAAAAACTTTGAATATGATTCGGACTTCAGCAGCCAGGGTTTGTGTGGAAGTGGATCTTCTACACGAAAATCCTTCGAGAATCTGGATTGGAATTCGTAAAGAGGGTTTAGGCAACATATAGTCTATGAAGACTTGCCAAAATATTGCATTCATTGTTTCAAACAAGGGCATGAGAGTGAATGCACAACCAAGGAGAAAAAGAAAGACCCAATGAAAACCGATGGTGTAGTGGAGAAGAATACAACCCAAAAAGAAGATACAAGGGTACAATCCAAGAACATAGTGATGATTTTTCAACCAATTGGTGGTAAGGTGAAATCCTTTGATCATGACTCCAATGGTAGGCCGATTCAACTGATTGAGGGAGAAACATTAGCTTCGAGTGAGCCTATAGAGAAGGGTGCTAAAGATGTTGTTAAAGATACCCAGCCTCTCATGAAGCATAATCTTTGGAGGAACCTTTGGATCAAGGGAAAGATATAGAGGAAAGGGTGTTTGATGTTTTACCTAAAAAGGATTGCACTATTATAGAAGAAGAAACAATTTCAAATCCGAAATCTCAATCTTTGTAGGTTCCAGATATGGCTCAAAAGAATGGAGGGAATGACACTGGAAGAAATTCCAATATGGAATCTAAGAATGAATGTGAAGCTCAAGATGAAGTTGTCAAGATGGCGAGATGTCATATACGGATGGTATAAAAGGTTGAAATTCTTTATCACCATAATAAATCAATGAAGCTTGGATGACATGGAGATAGGACATTGCAAGATCTCTTTAGTGGATCATGCCAACAATGAATACGGGAGTTGTAGACACTCATACGAAGAACATTAGCCCATGGTTTAAAATTTCGACACAATATGCCTGATAAGGACAAATCATATCGTATCTTTGAATAACTGATAGGGGGAACAATAAGAATTGGTTGTTTAATTTTTCCACCATATCACCCTATATCAATGGATAGCTATGATTCCTAAAGGGTGGAAATGGAATATATATATAGGGGTAAGAAGGCTTTTAACTCCCAAAAGAAGCCCTTTTTTACCCCCAAAAGCCTCTAAGATTGTGATATTTTCAAAAAAAAAAACAAGTCAATCATCAAATTTTGTGAAGATTTTTAAAATTTTGGAAAATATTGCAAAAAAAAGTTCTTTTTTCAACTTCTCTCGAAATATATTGTGATTTCTTTTTTTTTTTTTTTTGAATGCTTGAGAATGGTTAAACATATGTTGATCTACACTTCTTGTGTTGAAAATCATAGATTTTCTGGTGTTATGTGTAGGTTTATGGACTTTTTTGAAGAAATTTGGAAATATAAAATAACCAAAAAAGATATATATATATATATATATATATATATAAATTTGCCCATAAAGATTGAGTATGTTATAGATCTATAGGTAATCTATCATATCCATAGGACCATAGAACAATTGAAATTTCTCCTTCAATATTTTCTTTTATTTTTTTGTAATGTTTTGAATTATATAATAAAAATAATTATTTATATTTTCTTGTGATATGGCCATAAGGATTGAGTGTGTTGTAGATATATGCATGGTTCAAAGTATCGATACGATACGCCCCGTATCGGGCGTATCATATCGTATCTTTTGAAAATGGTACAGTTCGAAACGCCTGTTTCCAGGTGTTTTGGACCCCCAATTTTTTTTATAATAAAAAGCATGCTAAAAGCTTCCCAAAAAACCAAAATTTGAAGAAAAAACTAAAAAAAAAATAAAGTTTTGCCGTTTCTAAGTGTCGATATGATACGACCGGAACTCATATCGTATCGATACTTTGAACCTTGGATATATGGATGATCTTTAATATCCATAGAGCAATTGAAATTTCATCTTCAATATTTTTGAAATTTTTGAAATTAAAAAATAGTAATTATTTTAATAAGAAATAATTATTAATTATATATTCATTTAGAGGTTGTACAAATGTATGTTTTATGGTTAGGTGGGATAATTAAGCATTGATTTTTTTTAATGAAATTTGAAAACTAGATAAAATTACATAAAGAAAGAAACTGAAATATTAAATATGATATGATGATACAATTTTAGGATTTCTTTTTAATTAAGAAGTAGAAATGGATATACCATAAACCCACACAATTTTATGTCAAAAAATTAATGTTTATTTTTTATTTATTTTAAAGTAAAAACAATTAAAAAATAACCATTTGAATACCAAAAGAGTTATTACTTTCATTCTTGTGAATGATTTCTAGTGTAGGGATCTAGAATATTAAATTCTTTCATTGTAGCCTCCATGATTCAAAGTATCGATACGATACGCCCCGTATCAGGCGTTTCGTATCGTATCTTTTGAAAACGATACGATACGAAACGCCTGTTTCCAGGGGTTTCGGACCCCCAATTTTTTTTAATACTAAAAAGCATGCTAAAAGCTTCCCAAAAAACCAAATTTTGAAAATAAAAAACTAAAAAAAAAACAAGAGTTTCGGCCGTTTCTAAGTGCCGATATGATACGGCCGAAACTCGTATCGTATCAATACTTTGAACCTTGGTAGCCTCTTAGAAGCAAGAAATATGAATTCAAATGTGAAATATCAAGTGTAAACATGATAGTTAGATACTTGGTTAAATTTGAATGTACCATTTAAATGCATTCTTGTATTCATCATAAAACCCAATCAAATATATCATTTTTTTGTACATATACCTATTGATGTCTTATATTTAGTGTTATTGATGTATTTTTATGATTTATTGAAATATCTATATTTGTTTCAAATACACACACCGTGTTTCCATACTTTAAACCTTGCATTAAACGAAATGGTGAGGGTTTAGTGAATCGATAACAGTTGGTGAAAGTAAAGAAAAAAATGACGGTAAAAAACATCCTGGATATGATCCAAGTTCGAAGGTGGATAAGGAAAACAAGGTTATCACCCCCGATATACTTCAGAAAAAAATATATTTTATATTTCTTTTGCTGGTATATAGAGCAATTTCTTGCTCCTGATGTACTTTTGAGGGTCAGGTCTCTTCCCCCCCCCCCCCCCCCCCGCTGTTTGTTTGCATCAATAGAGCTTTGTTTTCCTTGAAAAACGACTGACCGCGTACTAATATAACCCGATTTTTGCAGGAACCCTAGCTTTAAGAATAGAGACAATAACCAGAATGTTTCAATTCAACTCATCAAAATTCTCGATTCAAAGTCTGAATTTCACAATTGGAACTTCGACAAAGAGAAAATTATACGATGTCAATAAACGCAACGCATAGAAGAGTTACCAGAGACGAACTCCCCAGCAGTCTCGTTCGTCCGAAGCCGCGACCGAGAGTCGCCGGAAGTGGAGATTAGATGACTTTGAAGTGCTTTCAGGCGACGGTGAGCGGATGACTCCATCAAATTTCTGAATAATCTTCGTTACAGTATATTCGGATACTGTATTCTCCAAGCTTCTGTCTATGTTACTTGCTTTGTTTTCTGATCGAACTTCTTTGGTTGGACTGACATGCTCGAAGCAATGTGAACTTTTCTTATACTGATAGCGCATGCGGTTCACATTCACACTCCAGCGTAGGTAAATTGCCGTTATCACAGGGTTAGCGGACCGTCGGAGATAAAGAATACAGTAACTTCCGCCAGTATGTTAAACCGTTAAGGCTTAAGCGTTGAGGCTTAAGCGTTGAGCCAAAAAATAAAACAAAATGATATGAACAATAAAACATATTTTCAGAATCTCATATGGCTAAAATGGATAATATTGAGTATCCAATATGCTAAAGGGGATGTATTGACTAACGCTACTTTTAATGATGCATTTTTTATAGTTTTTTTAAGATTAATTAGCAGGGACCAATGCAATGCATCGGGATTTTTTTAAGATTAATAGGAATGGTCATTTATTAAAACATCTGTTATAGTTTCATGGATTTACTAAAATCTACCTTATTATTAGCATTTTACTAAAACACACTTATAATTTGCAATGAATTTAATCAATCTTCCATTATATGAAAGTGGAAAATGGTAGTGTTGGTCCTAATGTTCATTTAAATAAATTTAATTAAAAATAAAATAAAAATACTATTTTTGCCCTTAATAAGACATGGGCAACCACTCTATTAATTGTATTTGGTCAATTTTGTTTTCTATACAAAAAAAAAAAATGCTAACGGTATTTTGGAATAAAAAATCATAGGCCTAATGGCAAAACAAACACTCCTTAATGAAAGGTTGATTAAATAAACAGGTTGTAAAATATATGAGATGTTTTAATAAAATGAAAACTAATAAAACGGGTTTAAGTAAATATGTAAAAATATAAGGTGTGTTCTACTAAATGACCCTAACAGAAACACATAAGAGTATATTATTGTTTTATATTTTCAATTTTTTAAATATTTAATAATTATTCATATTTTAAATACTACTTTTAATAATTTTTTTACAATACAAAATAACAATAATTAATTTTAGTTAGTTTTATTCATCAAACTGATGAAACCGACCAACCCGATCAACTCGACTTGAATTGGTCGGTTTTCTAGTATTTTAAGTTGGCTTTGGTTCAAAAATTTCCCAATTCGACCAAGTTGGATTAGTTTCACTTTGGCATATATTTTTTAAATATAATTTTTAATATGGAAAAGTGGGAAATTTCTCATATTTCTTAATCTAAAATGCTTTGTTATCATAAATCTATTTTTAAAATTTATTTTTTTAATAATTCCATTGTGATTTTTAAAATCAAATTAATTTTTAAGTTTAAATCTTTTGAACCAACTGACCAAACCAACAAAAAATGACCCAAACCGATACAACTTGAGTATGTCGGTTTTTCACAAAAGGTCAATCGGTTTCATCTAACCAATTCTCCAACCTGACCAAGTCAATTTGCCTGGCCAAACAGCATGGGACCAAATCAAACCAACTCATTAACACTCATAATTTTAACTAAATTAATAGTCTCATATCTGATAAATAATAACAGTTTAATCTCCAATAATTATTAAAAATTTATAGCAAAAATACACAATTATTGAAAAATATATTGATAATGACAAAAATACAAAAATTACAAAAATACAATAAGTACTAAAAATATACTAACTTAGTCAATGAATAGTATAATTTCAAATAGTTTAATCTCTAATAAATATTAATCAATAAGTTATAACAAAAAGACAATAAGTACAATAAATTAAATTTAAAATTTTCAATAACAGAAGTTTAATCTCCAATAATTATTGAAAGTTTTTTGTTAAATAACAAAACAAAATAAATTTATACATAATCATTGAAAATACATTTATCACAAAAAACAATAAATTAAATTTAAAAGCTTCAATAATAGTATTTTAATGTCCAACAATTATTGAAAGATTTTTGTTAAATAGAAAAACAAAATAAATTTATACATGATCATTGAAAATACATCTATTACAAAAAACAATAAATTAAATTTAAAAAATTTAATAATAGTTGTTTAATCTCCAATAATTATTACATTTTTCTGTTAAATAGCAAAACAAAATAGATTTATACATAGTCATTGAAAATACATTTATCACAAAAAAAAATAAATAATTACTGAAATAAAATAACTATTAATTTTAGCGTATATAATTATATAATAAATACAAATTAAGAGTTTAAAATTATTATTAATAAATATCAATTTTTTGAAAGTTATTCTCTCAAATTTTTACTTGATATAAGTGAAATTAGTTATTTTCAATATTATGTTATAATTATTTTCCACTTTTCAGAATTTTTAGTTTTATTACATAATTTCATTAGTTTAACTATTTACAATCTAGTTATATTAAATATTTTGTTATTTAAATATTTAAACCTTAAAATACTAATTATTTATTGGATTTAATTATCCATAAAATCATAATTTATACTATTGTTACTTTGAAGAAAGTTTTTCAATTTGTTACGTAATTTCATTATTTTAACTATTTAAAATATAGTTATGATAAATACTTAGTTATTTAAATATTTAAATAATTTATAAAATATTCAAAATTTTTTGTTATTTGAATTTTATTTATATAAATCTATTACATATTTTTAATATTTGAAAAATATTTAACTTAATAATCCAGAAAAAACATAATTTAAATTGTTAGTGTATAATTTCGTGATATATTTTTGTAAAAATGTAAAATTATTTTTTGTGTTTTTAATAAATATTTTAAAGTTATTTTATAGTTTTGTTAGAATGTTTAAATAATTCTTATTTTTTTAATCTAAACTTTATTTAGATATATAGATAAAAAATAGGGGAGAGAATAAATAGGAATTAGAGATAAAATAGGAGAGAAACTCTCTACTAAATTAGAGGTAATTTTGGAGAAAGTGGGGGAGGTAGTTTAGGAAAAATTTTAGATGAAGTGATCATTTAGGTTACTAGGAAAGTGCATCTTATTGGTTGTTTCAAAACTGACATGGAATTAAAAAATAAAAAATTTAAAAAATGAGAAATTTTCTAGAGTTCCTTGTTTTAATAATATATATATAGAGATTATTAAAAATATTTTAAAAATTATTGTAAAAATGGGTATTGGTACCCCGAAGAGACACTACAATTTGGGTTAGAATCTTACCAAATTAGTTTTTTTTCCCTATTTTTTTATTTTTTCCTAGATAGAAGTCAAACTTTTCAATCTAGGGATATGAACCAACATTGTTTTAAGAACAACACATTCCTATTTCCTTTCTTTCACTATTATGCATTAGTGAAGAGTGACCATCTATATGATGCATGTGTTTTAAAATAAAAAAATATATATATATCAAATATGAGATAAATGGGCAAATGGGTAAGAATAAAGCATGAATAATAAAGCAATTTATTTTCTTTCACATCTTATATGCAAGTTTTTGTTATTTGTATTTTATTTATTTGCTCATTACACCAATACATACAATATAATGCTTTTTTTTTGTCTTTATTTTATGCTTGCCCCTATGTAAACCTTCATATTCCACATTAGCATTTTGAATAGCTAAGGCCTAAGCCTTAGACATTTTGAGGCCAAAGACCCAAAGGTGTAGGCCTCAAACAACTCAAGGCCTAAGCCATGTTGGTGGCATCCGGGGCTATTGAAGCCATACCATTTTTCCTAGCCTCGCTTCGAGGCTTAAGTATTTGGCTTTGCCACAAGAGCCTTTTAAAACAATGGTTAAAGGAGATTTGCATTTGGCTTCGAATCAAATTCGGATACCAATCGTATTTTTTCTTCGAATTGCAATCGTATTGAATAGTCGTTAATAAATTAATTATCCTCATTTAATCCCCTTACTTAATAACTCTCATTTTATCTTATTAAATCATAAATTAAATTATTTTTCAATAATAAATGCTACTAATTAGATCCATTTCAATACTTTTAACAATATAAACCCATATATTTCAAAACGGACTAAAAAACAAAAACCATTATTTTATCAAAGTGGTGGCTAAGTAATTCAACTACCCAAATCAAATTGATCAGTTTATGAAGTCATAGTTAAGTATTGAAACTTTTAAAATATAAATATACAAATTTATAAAGGTGTAGAAAAAATAGACACATTTATGATATTTTTATTAATCAAATTAAAAAAAAAGTGTAATAAACAAAAATTATTTCTATTGACAATGTAAAATCAAATACATAATTTATAAGTGATCAAAAATTAAATTATTTTACTGTACGACAAAGATTAATAGTTCAACCTTTGGGCCAAATGTGTTATTCTTTAATGTCATAAATAAATAATGAAATATAAAATAAAAAAATAAAAAAATACATAAGTTTTGCAAAAAAAAAGGCACATGTATAATATTATATACTTTTTCATATTAAACACAACGTAAGTGTAACATATCAAATTTATTTTTACACACAGAAATACAAAAAAAATATAGAAAAATTGAACACATCTATAATTCTATATTTACACTACTATTAAAAATATGAATAAAACTGTGAAACTTTCTTTTAACTAAAATAATCATTTTTTAATTTATTTCATATTTAACTATGAGGTTTAAACCTCATTCAATTCCCTCTATTTAAATCTTACAATTTTTTTTTGATAATGAACATAAAAAGATACACCAAAAATATAAAACATTACAAAAAGAAGAGTCTAACCAAACAGGTAGGCCTGCCAATGATACTTGAAACTTCACAACTTGATTCGATTATCACATATTTGGATAAGGCATTTTATGTAATCAGTTTTGGATTTTTCATTATGCATATAATTGATAATAAAAACATAAAAAACAAAAAATAAAAAATATATAAAGTTTATAAAAAATTTTGAATACATTGTTATTATCATTATCGTCATTTAGAATTGTCACGTACAAAGCAAGTACACACTTAAAGTATTAATAAAATTACATATAATAAAATAGCCTAAAAAAACCTTGATTTAGCCATAATTCATCATCAACTTTTTCAATTTGGGTTTGGGTTGGCTTGATTTATATCCACCATTTTGTCAAATGTACTTTATCTGCTAGACTCTAAAGTGTTAAGGCCAGTTCAGTTTTAGCACTATTATTTTTAGTTTTTAGTGTGCAGTGGTGGTTCTTGCCCACACTTCACGATGAACCCATAAAAAATTAAATTAGAATATTTCAACAGTATCATATAATGTCAATGTTTG